CAAACAAAAAGGACGATTTCTCGTAGAATGAGAGTTTTCCCCGAGAAAAACAAACGGCGATTGCGATTGCAATAAAAGTTGAGCGAGCTATATGGTAATGAAATATTTTGGAGCTTATTTTTAAAAAATAAAATAGGATAAATTCAAGGATAAAATGTTTAAGATGTAATCGTGCAAATGATCGACTTCTTGATTAAAACTGTCAATGTTTAGTTCGATGGAACGATTTTCCAGCAGATTTCTGGATAGTTACATTTCTGCTTCCCTCCAATACGGTGTTAACCTGTCGCACTTGATTTGATATTCAGGAACTCTCACGGAATATAACGATCAATCGCGAATACTGACGGACAAACTTACAACACAAGGTTAAGACCAATGCAGGTTGTAGAAATTTTATTGGGAATATGATATTTCCTTGCTCAATATGAGTTTCGACTGTTTATGCAGCATGCTACTCCGTGCGCCTTGTGGTGTCGTTGTCACTACCCAATTATCACGCTGAGAACGCTGATGCAGGACACGCTTACCCTTCCAAGACACCAAGATTGATTACACTTGTACTTTTTTGCTAAAAGTCTTCGCGTAATTGTTTCCCTAGTTTATAATTTGCCCCAGTTTCCTCGATTTTTCGCTCGACTTGCAACACTATGTCAGAAGCTTCTTATGGAATGGGAAACGTTAGCCCTTCCAGAACCCCTGATCTTGCCTCCGGTTATCTGGCGGGTTTGATTTACTTTCCTGTTGTTTTAAATTCTCCATAGTTCCGATTTTCATGCTCTTTTTCAGCTTTGAGTTTGGTATTTAGCCTTGAATATTGACGCTATATTACATTATTGCTTGTGTATTGATAATTTGGTATGTTTTTTCTTTATTTGTTGACGCTGTGTTATATTTCCCTTGTGTATTGACACTGTGGTATATTTTCTCTTTATTTGTTGACGCTATGTTATATTTCCCTGTTGTATTCCGTATTGTCAGTCAGCCCCTTGTTGTATTCCACAATGTCAGTCAGCCCTCTGTTGTATTCCGTATTGTCAGTCCGCCCCCTGTTGTATTCCGTATTGTCAGTCAGCCCTCTGTTGTATTCCGTATTGTCAGCCAGCCCCCTGTTGTATTCCGTATTGTCAGTCAGCCCTCTGTTGTATTCCACAATGTCAGTCAGCCCCCTGTTGTATTCCGTATTGTCAGTCAGCCCCTTGTTGTATTCCCCAATGTCAGTCAGCCCTCTGTTGTATTCCGTATTGTCAGCCAGCCCCCTGTTGTATTCCGTATTGTCAGTCAGCCCCTTGTTGTATTCCCCAATGTCAGTCAGCCCTCTGTTGTATTCCGTATTGTCAGTCAGCCCCCTGTTGTATTCCGTATTGTCAGTCAGCCCCCTAGCTGTTGTACGATTCTTCTAAAACAATTGAGATTCCAATTTCGATACAGTGTCGATTACAAAGATACACCGCATGATATATTGAACAAACAAATTTCATTAATATAGCTGTATCATTTAATGAAATTCTTGCATCTGTGATGCTGCATATAGCAGTGAATTGGTGTTCAACTAACACGGGAATACGTGGGTGGTCATATCGTGAAACGGATATATTTTCTTTTTCTTTTCTTCTTTTCCTTTTTTTATTTTTTTAATAAATTCTGTCAATGTTTTTGTTTAGAAAGGATAGGCCCACCAATCTCTGATCAAATCTATATCAAAATGATACAATGGATTACGTACGTTGCAACAGTCATCAACATATTGAACCTGTGCATTCTGCCGTGCATTTCTAGAACTTCGTCACTTTTTAAAACATGTTTCTGAAATTTGTTAATCATCAGGGAAAATATGATTTTAAAAAATCAGTTTTTAAAATTTGGCTTGTCTAAATTCAGTTTATAACCATTATCATTATACTCCATCATATATTTGTGACGCTCTGTAATCATATTTGTTTGCTTTGTTCACTAGCCTGGAGTCTTTTATATGTCTAGTTACATACATTGGTTTTGTCCACTTTAGAATATCTCCTTTTTCTTTACTTTACATATGATTTCTTTTTCTATATTTATTTATATTTATGTCCATATACATGTACATGTAACTCTCCAATTTGGAGGAATAAAGAATTAAATGAATGAACGTAATATTGTGTACTGTATACATGTGTATATTTTCGGTTTGGTGTAGTGTCGCTATATATAAAAAAATATTTGGAAATATTCAGTGTTGTGTTAGTAGTATCGAAATTGTTGCATAAGTTTCTTGAGTATGAATGGTGTTATCATGTAAACACACCGAAGAAAATGTATATCTTTATTGTTTTTCTCGCTTATACAAATTGATGAAAATTTGGTGTTAATATTGCCCGGTGCATGAATTTACTTGTGAATAGATTTCATTAAATCATGCTAACGTTTTATGCAACAATACAGATGTTTAAATGATATATCAGTAAAAATGTTAAATCTATAAAATATATTTTAACGGTTTTTCAAATATCATCAATTTTATCTCTTGCAAAAATGAAATCAGTGTCTTCCTTTCATCAAGACCAATGGGCTAACATTTCCGGGAACATATATCAAATAGCACGTACAGACCGGGGAAACGTTGTCATGACAAATGCATAATAATTGCAAAATGTATAATTATAAACAATGCGTTTATTTACGAACAGTATTGAAATGACCTCATAAAGTTGGTAGTCTTTCAGGATGTTTACATAAACAGCAACCAATAGGAACCATCTGTTTGGATAGAGGGGAAATGTCTCCCACTATGTGGACAGGCAAGGCGTTCCTTTCTTGACCTGCGTGGATAAATAAAAGTAGTGAAAATATTGACAGTATGCTAGACTTTTTGTAAATAAGGTACGACATGTTTTAATGTAATTATACACATGTTATTTACAGCTGATCAAAGCCTTTTCCCATACTTCATTTATACTGACAAGATGGTAACGAAAACAGCAATAATGATCATACACCTGATCATCACGATTACAATGTATTACTGGGTTAGAGAAATTTGAAAAACATTTCAGGTAAGGTTAAACAAAATAAAGTTAATGCCAAAAAACACTGGCAATCGCACTCATTATTAATAATAATAATTCGAGGTTCTTATATACCGCTTTATCACAACCTAGTTTGTAGGTCGTCTCAAAGCGGTTCACAAATTATTACCCGTGGTTATGGGGCCTTTGCAACCAGCCAATATCTTTCTCAACTCCCTGGGGAGCATACAGCTGGTGCTGCCATTTCGGCACTCACAGCTAGCATTCAACAATTCTAGCACTGCCCAACCACGTACTCATTTACATTAAAGGCAGACAAGAGTTGAAACAGGAGACGAATTATATTGGTAATACAAGACACACAAAGATATAACAATAAGAATTATCAGGGAGTTGTCAAAAGGTACCTCCTGGATTATCCGATCGAGTCTAAAACGGTCACGTTTAAGGGAACTACGTAGAATTTCTTTTCAGCTTTGCATGCAAATATTCAACCGACGTTCCTCACAACTGAAGCAAGGACATGTAGGTGAAATGGTGGCGCATTTGACGTTAATGAAGTTCGGAAGCCATTAAAGGAAGGAATCCGTTGTATTTTGTGATCAAAACATCACCACTTGTAAACATTAGAAGCGGTAAAAGATTAGTTTGTAAGAAGGAAACTAAAGGGAGGATTGATATAATCCATATTATTTCTTACCTCATACCGACTATCCTCTTGCTTAATCGAAGAACTTGAAGTTAGAACGCTATCGGTCCTACATCATTCTCGACATTCCAGGGGTAAACGCTCTCCTACGTCTCTGTAATGGAGCGTAGGTACATGTAAACCCCTGAAATTTCAAGGATTGTCCTATATTAGAAAATCTTGTTATACGACGGTCATTTGTTTGTGCTTTTTCTAACATTTCAGATAAAACTCTAGCACAACCATTCAATAAATCGCAAGCATATTCCAATACTTCGCTAGCCTTGAGCCCTCTGGCCCTACATGTAACACCAGACTTAGACATTTTGCTATACAGAATGTCTAAGTCTAGTGTTAGGGCCAGAGGAAACTCGGGGTAATACTTCGCATAAGAGTCTCCCGATCAAGTATGTTCAGTTAACGTAAAATGTTAAATATTTTCAGAATAGAAATATGATTCTCGCTGATATTGTAACTAATTTCTACATGTATACTCTGACTGAAATGTTTATTATGGTCAGCAATGAGTTTAATACTTTTCCATCAAATTCTACGTCTTATTTTTCAATCAACTTGGAATATATTTTATATTTTTTGTTGGATTAAATGTTACCAACTAAGTTGTCAATTATATTTGTATAGATTCGACGTCTTTATCCGGTATAACTTGAAGTCAGAGACCGGCCGAGGACGACAGTGATAACACAGTACCGTGAATATATACAGTGTAATCACTATCATTAGCATGGACTGATCGTAACAGTCATGGAACATTGATGAACACCTGCTTTAAAAAATACATATTTGAGAATAATACCACTTTCTGATTCATCTTAAAAAAGCATGTTTCTAAACAGGAAAATAAAATATCACATTGAACCTGCCAAGCCAGGTCAAATGCTTCAAAAATGTCGGGGAATAATAATTATATGTGTTCTTTTCTCAACTGCAAGGCATAAGTTGTTATTTGTTAAAAGGGGTTCGTAAACAGAGTACAGCATAGCCATAGAGACGGCATAAAACCAGACAGGTAGTTATAATTACAAAATCAGCCCGACGCCATTACTTTTATAACAAAGAAAACAAAATAAGTGTTTTATCAGGTCAGTGGTCAGACGAAATATATGCATTGAAAGTCAATAGATTGTCGTGACCAGTCCATTTTGTCCTAGCCATACAAACAACACCTGTGACCGAGAGCTCATCAATCTTTTGATGAGGCCTGACGCTTAGACTACGCTCACGTAACGAGGCGCGACGCCGAGTTCGTCGCGAGCAATGAGACGTATATTATGGATAGAGAAGAGAAATGTTTCGTGTATGCATGTTACAGTCCCCGTGGTCGAAGATGCCCTTACAAGTATGGTGTAACATAAAATAACCCTTGGTGAATTACGTCGTCTAGCTTGTGTTACACAATAGCCAGAAAGAAAAAATGGCGTCACTCAAATAATGTAATTCGTGGAGCCGAATCCTGTCCGTCAAAAAACGATTGGAATTTTTCTACTCTGCCACAAAATGGTCTGGATTATTTCGGTTTGTGTTTTAATGATTTCAGTGTGTGGGAGCAGAGGAACAGTGTTTCATGTCGAGGCGGAGAATTTTGTGACAGACAAATTTGCCTTACACAGACTTAACGCGACGGGAGAGGAGTCCATTAACTTCAATCAGGGACAGTTTATACACGTGTATTTCTGTCTGAGAGCCGAATCGGAAGTGGCAGTAGACAACATTTTATATTCGAACGATGGCGGAAGTGATATGTTTGAGGTAAGCATCGACGGCGTTAAACTCGGTGAAATAGTCACGCCGGAACATTCACAGAACGGTCTGCTTTGGAACAATTTCCTATCCAGTCAACAGGTAGGCCCTAGTCTCACATTGTCCTCCGGTTATCATGTCATCTCTATTAATTTCACCTCCACCGATTTCTACGGTGTAGAGATTGACTCCGTTTTTGTGCGCGTGGAGGACCGTTTCTTGGAGGAAGAACTCTTCAAATGTTCGTTGTTCTGTCTCAAGGACAATATGTACGATAACGGCCCGGCAAGGGATGACCTGTCGTCGATACTTCTTGACCGGAAGAACTATGACATAAATTGTCCAAAGGAGGACAACATAATTCTGCCCATGTACCACGCCAACGTTGACCTCTATATGATATCGGCGCTATTGCCGAGATATAGGTCATTCGAGAATCATCAAGAATCTCATTATGAGAGTTGTGTTCCACCTTCCGATGAACTTTGGAATTTCCAGAATTTCGTGGTCCCTATCGAGAACAAGGATGGACATATCATCAACAACCTGGCATCACTGACGTACCACACGCTGAATAATTCGCGGACATCAGTGTTCTGTGTGGCCTTCGACAAACAGGCGTCCACGGCTGTAGCCATTGACGAAGGCCAAGTGGACACCGGTCATGTGTTGTCCGTCCAGTTTAAACGTGTGGCCAGTCCGTTCTACGTCACTATACGCTACAGAGGTGTGCAAAGCAATTGGTCTGCAGAGTTCGCTAAATATTTCACACCACAAGTACGGCAGGACATCTGGACAATATCCGAACACGAATGGTCAGACACAGAGGTCAACGAGGTGGAAATGACCATTGTGTCAGATCCTAATAACCCATTCCCTATCGTCATTGAGTATCTAAGACTGACCAAGAGGCGACTAGGGGAACGGCAACACAAGTTAATCTACTCAAGCAAGGATATCCAGGCCGAGGTTGTCACTGTGGACTTTGGACCGAACGCACAAGGAGATTTTCAGGACAAAATGTCGGTAACGAGGCTCGATACGGGAGAGAAATGGGACTCTGCCAGCTATATTAGTATTCTGCATATTCTCCCTTGGTCTCAGAAATACGGAGAGGTATTACGTTTCTATCAGTCGGGTAAGATACGGGTACTTCCACTCACTCCGCCTGGTTTAGACAAGCTACCTTTTGGGTCGTCATTTATCGTCGGTCAATCTGATCCAAATGAGCGGTTCCCGCGCGCGCCAATAAGTCACATCGATATCGACCCTGGTGCGTTACAATTGTTCATTACATACAAAGACGAGGGAAAAGCCAATATGATCATCAAGCCCTCCCTTCACGGCACGCGCGTCATTGTCAAGGACGTTGAAATGGCAAAAGATTCTATGTTGTTCCCGTTTGTCACGTTTAGTTCGCTGTGGATTACGGACGGTAACTCGGAGGTGGACCATATCAGTTCCAACGGAAACGATGTCCATCACATCGTCAATGGCTGGGTGAAGCTATACGGAACGGCATTCACCTTTATGAAAAAGTGTATATCTAAACACAACACACAGGGTCCTGACATGCGCATAGAGCTGCTCACTAAACGGGAACTATACCAGTATGTCTAACACTACTAAAGATAGGTTATGCTATCTGGTAAGACAAAAATAATATCGTTTCTCTTCAAAAATAATAACTTGGATGATATTTTCAAATGAAGTAATGCTGAAATCCTTTTTAAAAGCATTATCGGTCAAGCAATAAGCTAGAAATCCAATCAATGAAATAATGAATATACTAATTCGACAGATATATTAAGTTTAATACGCACATTGCATATTGAGTTATATTAGTTTATTGTACACATACTATGTAACTGCATTCGATATAACATGAAATGTGGACGATTCTAATCTATGACGTATACACACGTTGAGTTCATCACTTACTTCGGGTCACTGGTCATGCGCGTCACACACTAACTATTCCGGTGCAAGTTTGATGTATTAGTAATTGTCACAGACGGTCACAAAGCTGTTTTATATACAATAACCATGCTCATAAAAAACATTGACGTTACCACAAACCTTCCGTGTGTTATGTTATTAAATATTGTCTTTGCGTGGCGTGTTATCTTTTGATTTTGTCTGTCTAACTTGTTTTATGACAGATAGGGATTGAAGTCAGAATTATCCCATCACCATAAAATGTGAATAGAAGAAATTTTATATCTATATTACGCTTAGTCGAAATAATGTGAATGTAAATATTCCCCATTCTTACTGCAGGAAATCGAAAATCCGAGCTTCAATATCTCATAATTCCAAAGACAGCATTGTTTTGAGTAATCCGTATTCATTTCTCCATTTTTGTCCGATTTCGTATTATCCTATAAGTCAATCAGGATCTTGTTAACTCACAGACAGTTTTGAATTACACGGATGTGAGCAATGGCAATGGAGTGAGCCAATTGCGGTACCCCGACTTCAAGGTCAAAAACTGAGGCCAAATCAAAGCTTTTTTTTTTATATCCGGAACATGGTATCTTTATTATACGTGTTTTGTTATGTTTATATTTCCTTCATTACGTGTATTACAAAAGAACTGGCTTGATAATGGACGGAGACATTACAGTTATAAAAAACACATTTAGGGAGAGAATGGCTATAGCTGCCTATCAGTCCATCATGGTAAATGCATTAAACACGGTCAACGTTACTGTTTAATAATAACTGTAACTCGGTTTTTTTAGTTCACATGATGGATGGATGCACAATATTTTTTTCAAATTACTTTCGAATTAAGTTGATCAAATTCATATTGAAGTCTGGATAACATTCAATGGCCTGTATTCCATTTTGTCTAGAACGGTGAATCAGACCGATTCGTTTTTCTGTTAAGTTGATACATGATACTTGAGCTATTATTTCAGAAATCTTAATTAGTTTACTGGTTTTGCCTGCCACATCCATCTTAATTAGAGACCGGTATGCCTCTCCACAACTAGAAAAAGATTTATCACATAATGTACTGTGTTATCCAGTGAATATACCCATGTCATATTTTTTTATTTTTTTTGCGTATTAACCCATGTAATATGACCTAACAGCCCTGTGATTGGCTGTAAGTTTCAAATGTTTCAAATGCGGCGTCACGACTAGGACAAGTACATGACGTCACAGACTTCCGCAATGGAGTCAAAATGGCGGCTATTTAACATTTCAAGGATTCAAGAAAAAATATTGTTTTACACCCAATAAATGCCACAAATCTTGATTATGTGATAAAAAGGATCTTACACTCGTTTTCATTTCATATGAAATTTATGAAACTCGTCACAAATTTTTCATTTTAGCTCGCCTATTGAAAAATTCTTAAAACTCGCTTCACAAATCTCATATGAAATGGAAACTCATGTAAGATCCTATATATATAAATTAGCTTAAGGAAACTGTCATTTCGTAGCATAAAGTTTGGACGCAAAAGAGAGTGACAGTTTAATACGTTATGTCGGTGAACTATTTTTATTAAAACATCAGCTATAATATCTTATTGAGAAAGATGCTGTTCAAATTACCTAACTTATCTAAATTCTTACGTTCAATTGGAGTCTTTAAATATGACATATCAACGGATGTGAAATTTAGGTTAACAATACTGTACCATCTTTTATGGAGTTGTTGAAACGTGTATACTTTAACCACAAAACAAGCAAAGGAAGCCTGTATGCTCACCTGGATCTTTAAAAACAGTTACAGAAAACTGTTCTCATCAAAACTAGTACTGCAAATCCCTCGGCTCGGGCGGGACCGATCCACGGAGTCAATCCTAGTAGCATAAGTGTATAACAAGAGGCATGATGGACCTGCATCGCTCACCTGGTATTAATCTCACACTTGTAACATTAAAAGTAATTTAAATTCAAATAACAGGCAAAATATCAGTATTTATGACTGCAAGACATTCAAAAGAACCTGTTAAAAGATTTAAAAACATTTGACCCCTGTGACCTTGAAAGTCGAACAAGGTCATTACGTTGAACAAAGTTTATAGCCCTTCATCTCAGCATGTAACTTGCCAAATATCACCAACCTAGACCTTTTGTTTATTGAGATTAGGTCATTTAAAGGTTTAAACATATTTGACCAAATGTGATCTTGAAAGTGGGTCAAGGTCATTCAAATGAAAAAGCATGACAACCCGTCATCCAAGCATGCTACTGGCGAAATATTTAGAAGTCGTATAAAGATAAAAAAAAAAAAAATACCCTGTGACCTTGAATGAGTCAAGGTCATTCATTTTAACAAATTTGGTAGCCCTTTATTCAAGCATGCAATATCTTAAGAAGACTTTTTTATGTCACACCTTTCAATCCCTACAACATTTGTAAAACATTTTTGAATACCCTTTGCCTGAAACTCCATCCAAATATGGTTGATATCCATCCCATAGTTCCAGAGAAGTAAAATGTATATGGCTAAATAACTCTTTTTGGTCACCAGAGAATGAGTTTAACCAAATATGGTTTGACATCCATCTTACAATTCCCAAGTGAGAAGTTACCAAAAGCAATAAGGCCAAATAACTCTTTTCGATCCTGCCCATTGTACAGTTTTGAAAGATTTTTAACCAAATATCCATATCATAGTTCCAGAAGGGATGTTGTGTACAGTAATATTCAATAATTAACCCTTTCTTAGATGTGCTTTTTAAGACATTGTTGATGGACAGCCTAATACAGACACAACGTACAACATTAGCTCACCATGTTCCTTCAGATCAAGAGAGCAAATACACCATGAAAAGAATAATGACAGAAACTGAGTTTTTTTCTCTCAAATTTATTTATTATATTTGTAATTTCATTTTTGGCAAAACTGCATGGCATTTTGTTTGGTGATAAATTACATAATAATACAGTATGTATCTTAACACCCTAAAGGCCTCTTGGAAAGTTGATTTCCTTGTTCATTTAGAATGAGACAATTATATAACATTATATAACACAAACACACACAGACTTGCTTACACCGCACTGGACATTTTTAACACTTCCATTCAATAATAATCAATCACCAACTAAAAGTCCCCCGTCAAAAGTATCTCCCGATAAATCGATTCCTCCCTGTCTATAGTATTCTACCGAACAGTAACACCTTCCCGTCCACAGTATCCAGATATATAAACGTAACCGTAGATACTGAAATGTTTGACTCTACTGGCTAATGTTACTCCAATGAGTATGATTTGTTCAACAAAACTAAACCTTATTTGAGCCTCTATTACCAGTCAACCCACTGCTCTGTATACAAAACAGTCATTCAACTCTGCTGTATATAAAGTCATTCGACTACTCTGTACACAAAAGCAGAAAACAGGGCTACAGTATTATTACATACCAGGTAAATCTTATAGTTAAAGCCACAGTCTGATTTTCACACTCTGAAAGTACAAGATGTTGTATTACCCCAGTACCACTTCTTTTTTTTATCCACTGTTAAAAATGGATGAATTGAAACAAAAATGGACTAGGAACATTATAGCGCCATTTTACGTCTTGTAAACGTGAGGTCAAAATTCCGTCCTGGAAGTCATTTTGTCTGCCATATAGATGTTTGGTTAAAAGATTTTTGTGAGAAACCTAAATATTACAACAGAAAAAATATTTATATGAAGAACAATTGTTGTTATGTAATAAAAGCAATACCACACCTGTTTGTCTGATGTCCCAGACTGCACTCCGTGAATAGATGTATTTCAGGCTAAAGTCCTCCTGATATATGTGTTCACAATGCACTATATAATGCAATCTGAGATGTCTGATGAACACGCGAGGTATTGCCTGTGTACATTATGTACCTTGTAATAGGTTCATCACAGACTGTAAGTGTAACCAAATAGACAAGACACTAGAATTATGTGGTACCTATGTATCTAGGTCAGGTTTATCCATCACATTCAATAAACCTCTTCCTGATCACTTATTTTAACAAAAATACTTTTTTTTCTTTTTTTTAGAAAAGACCATGCTTATAACAACAGCTGACATTTATTTAATGTATATTGTACATGTATAGTAGCCTCAAAAATAAACTGTTTACTCTTACATATGATATGTGATGGGTCAGAGAGGAGTCCAGCTCTAAAAAAAACATTTCACATATTATTCACTTACAGAGTTCATTTCTCAAAACTACCTTTGAGAAACATATAAAATTATCTTTATCAACATAAAATCTGTACAAAGCAGTACATAAGAACCTGTAATTGTTATCATTATTATTATTATTATAGCTGACTGAACATTTTCAGCAAAAAGAAATGTTCAGATGGATATGGTGGACCAGAAAATCGATTTTGGAATAAAAAACATGATTGATCAAAATGTTGTTATTAAGTAAATCAGGCAAATCTTCCAGGAGTTATTCCAGAGTTTATCAAGAAAGGGGGAAAAGGGTTGGATATGTTTTCGTAAAATGTATATTTAAGCTATCATTTGCTTATATGTTGACTTAGCTTTAATTTTTCCCGACCCACATCCATTGGTATTAAACCAGGTTTATGAAAATCTTCACAGGTTTTTTTTCTTTCAATTAAAAGATAAAATAATGGAAACCTTGAGCCGTTCTTAAATTGAGACAACCATCACTTCTTGGGAAACCCCCATTTCTCTCAAACAAATTATGCAAGACAGTAATACCATACTTGTTTGTGAAAGATAGGTAAATTTCAGCCTCAGGGTTATGTGTGAGTAAAACCTTTAGCAAAGCATCAGGCATCACTACAACTGATATCTCTGAGGTGAAATTTCCTGATCTCCCACATACATTGTAGAGTCTCTTGCTCTAACTGTACATCACTAAGCGTTTTTTTGATGGCTAATGAAATCTCTGTCCTCCTACATCTGAAATATGATAAAGTCTGGAATAGTCATAGGAAAAAACACTTTAAAATTTAAAAAAACAAACATATTTCCACTTAAAGTCAATTTAAAAGTTAAATATCTGGCATTTTAGCACACAATGCTCAGAAGTAGCTAATATAATGATTATCGCATCCAGCTACTTAATCCATTATATAGTAGTTATCCAGACTCTGTAATCTGTACACATGATCACCTAACAGGAAGTTTAATTACAGGTAAGATGATTGTGAAAGACGTTTGGCCTTGGTACATTAGGACATGGGTAGGTGGACACCCGACTCAACAGCCTGGTCCCGAGGTCACCAAACACAGACAATCGCTGCCCTATATTTATACACATGTTCACAAGCGATTATCACAAACAGCTTTGTAGTCAATAATAGAATCAATGATACTGCAAAAGTGGAAATCTTAGTGCTTGGCAATTTTTCATGTTTTTGACTCAACAAATTGTTTATTGATTGCAAATTTGGGTGTTGGCATATTGCAATAAGATTTCATAGTGTATGCTCATGACGTGTCACACTGATTGCAACAGCACAAAGAAATCCATTTCTACAGACAGTACTCAAATATATAACAAACATGATGAACAAATGAATGAAGTGTTTTAAACATACATCTGATAATATTGGCTTATAGTTAAAACAGCTCATCACATTGAGGAGACTAACCTGGCTATCTACAATTTGGGGAAAATACAACTGACCATAACTTTTAACTTTCATAATATTTATGATTTTCAGACAGTTCTGTCATTAAACAAATTATCTAATTGTGTGTATTTGGTAAAACAAATTTTCATTAAAAATAAAATAAACTTCTAAAGAGTCACTAGAAAATAATTTTAATAGGAAATCTAGGCCCACATTAACAATGTAACATTGTACAGCGAAAACCTTGAGGATTTTTCTGTGAAACAATTTAGGATATTACTGTAGTCATTTTCCCTGTTAGAACAAATATTCAGTCTCAGATGCTGTGCCCAAAACATAAATTGCTAGCACATTTTTTTTGCAAAGTCATCAGAACATGAATTACAGAGTTGCTTGAAAAATGAGGTTATGTCAATCAGAGCACGTAACTTAACACTAGATGAAGTCAAGGTGACATGTTATACAAGAATAGTTTTATACACACAAATCACATTTCATTTGTATTGCCTGTAACAAGTTATAATAATTGCCATTAATTCATTTTCAAAAATATTCTTTTGTCAACAATTCACAATACAAACATTTTAATAACATTTAACTTTTAAATCTATGAATCAAGGGGAGATAACAAATGTCAATATATTTCCTATACTATACAGCACATCTCAATGATCAGCAGGGTCAAACCAAATGTAAGTAGTACAGGCAAGCTAAGTGAACACCGACAACTAGCTGGTGTTGTGAGATACAGGTTTCATCTAAATAAACCAAGTCCATGGTAGCGCCCATGTCCAACAACGATACACAATAATCAAATAAATAATTCAACATAACATTTCAACACATTAATTTATACAAGTTATGATGCAGTATAAATCTGAGTTCCTTCTAACAGTTCAGCAGATAGTTTGAAAGGAAAGTAAATTGGTATCAAGATCTTTCTTTGTGTCATTTCATACACCTTCACACAGATTTGGATTTATGGGGAAATGCTTGAAGTGAATCTCAGATATGTGATTTATGAAGAAGTTCTAACAAATTTGCTGGGAATCACTTTGAGTGATCCTTAAAAAAATTGATAGGTGGGGAAATGTTTAAAGTGATAACAATTAACCAAGAGTATTATGACGAGGACCCAGTATCATCAATAGTCGACTCTACCTCACATTTACCTACAACTTATTTTCCCATAAATTACAGCAGAGACTTAATATCTAACTTAGCTTGATACAGAACTGTTGCAAATACTGGGACAAAAGTCATGATTACCAGACTTCATCAAAATAACACCCAGATAGAATATCCTCAAAAAAGTACCAAGCAAATCAGAACTTACAAATCATTTAGCATTTGAAGTGTTGAAAGTTCATTTTTCGATCTGAATACATCACATTATATTGTAAAACAAATCATTTGAGTAAACTGTATCTTTTGAACAATTTATAATATTTATGCAATAATATGAAAGCATTACACTAAATATATCTTAAATATTTATGAAAATATTTTGAATTACCAACTATGTCTATAACCCAAAATGAAGCATCTATAGATATGGTTCAAATATTAGAAATTTTAATTGACCATCAATTACAATTGTACATTTATTAAATAAAGGTGTTCACTATTTCACTGAAAAAGTCAATCTATCCCGCATTGTGTACTGTAATTACGGTGGTGTCAACATGTTCGCTTATTTTATGCTCAACAATTTGGACAGGAGCACAAATAGATCTGTTTCAGACTAAATCGAAACAAAAATATTTGAGTATCTAACACATCCTATGGAGGTTCAACAATACAAAGGATACCAGAACATGAATGTCATAGATGGACTATCAGACTATTATACTCTTCAACATTTCCAGACATGACAAAAAGATATCCTGCTGTCACACTATGAAATATTGAAAAATAAAACATTTATGTTGCACAAAATCCTTAAAATTTATAAGTTTCGTATTTGGCTACATTAAAAAATGTTTTTCAAAGAGTCAAAGTTTCCTCCTGGATGACAAGTCTTTTCAATGGAGGAGGAAAAAATTGTCATTTATGCAATTGAGGACAAAATTAATAAACATTAAAAGTTACAGTCAAACCTATCAGTGACCTTTATCATACGTGTCAAAAACTGTTTTATTTCTTCACATATTCTGTTTTTAAGTATAGGAAATACATGATCAGATAAACTCTGTGAATAAATATGATTTGGATAGTTCAGATTACAAGCAAACGGCAAATCCATCAATTCAAATAGGAAAAAATAAATCTTTATTCTGAATGAATAATAAAAAAATAAAAAAAATGTAAGTTCAGGATCTTGGGCAACTACAAAAAATTGATTGAAAATAATTGATAATTGAACCCCAAGATGACCGAATTTGGAAAATAACTGCAAAGATAACAAGAGGCCCAAGGGCCTTAGCGGTCACCTGAGTTATATCATAGGTACTGGTAGCTTTATTTTATTGTTTAGATGTGATGTGGAAATCAGCATGTAAACTAAGTGAAANTAGAAAAATGTCAACCAACAGCAGAAATTAACTTTTTATAAGACAGAACTCTCGATGATTAAATAAACAAGCACTGATTGAATGCCATACACTTTCATTACCAAAATATATACAGCTGCTCTTAAAAATTTACATCTTTAACAGGAAAAGGAAATTTGGTACATCTGTAAAAGGGCATGTTGATAAATACGATGGACTTGCTGTAAAAATGAAAATGTTCACAATGTTGAAATGTTTCTGTTTTAGCTTTAAGTCTATATAGATTACAGATAAAATGTTCACAATGTTGAAATGTTCCTGTTTTAGCTTTAAGTTTATATAGATTACAGATAAAATGTTCACAATGTTGAAATGATCCTGTTTTAGCTTTAAGTCTATATAGATTACAGATAAAATGTTCACAATGTTGAAATGATCCTGTTTCAGCTTTAAATCTATATAGATTACAGATAAATTGTTCACAATGTTGAAATGTTCCTGTTTTAGCTTTAATTACAGATAAATTGAATATTAGATTTCAGACCTATTGCTTACAAATATGTCCACACCACAATCACTTTAAATGGTCAAAATGAAAACAACTCCACCCAATAAAAAGGTGCACTTTTACAGTATCTGATGCATCCAAAGGCTACACATGACAGGTCGGACTGTACAAAATAAAAACACCTTTTGTAAAAATTCCAAAACAAAATTCCAAAGCAAAAGCAAAGATATATGACTATCATGTTGTTTTTCCGCCAAAGATGATGAATGACACTTGATTTAACCAGGTGATGAATGACACTTGATTTAACCAGGTGATGAATGACATTGACTGATTCAAGTCACTACATCTCATATTGGAATGTGATGATGATGGGATAATGCCCTACCATCAGACTTTTCATTTCATAGAACAAAACATAATTACAGGTCACACGTAAAATACCTGTGGACAGATGTCATAGACAGAGAAACAAGTGTAATATATTGAGTAATGAGATCATTTTTACGTACCTGAACATTCATTCCATTTAACTAATGAGCACTGACATAACTAGTACATTCGCACCTGTACACACACAAACCACTGCAGCATACACACTTACAACTGGAATACACACAAATAGAATATACATGAACACACACACAGTACAAACATGTGATGACAACACACCATTCTGACAAATGAGCCTGTGTAATAATACAGGTGCCCTATCACTTTAGAAGTTTATTTCTCCGACAAATAGTACTCAATTTGGGTACAATATATATATTTATTTTACAGAGTGATTTGATTTAAAAGGCATCAAAATCGATCAATTATTTTCTCTTGCAAATATATTTAAGGAAATGACAAGAAACTAATTAAAGCCAGAAGAAAAATGGAAATCTCAACTTATTTTAAATTTAAAAAGTCCTAGATGCAAATTTCAAGTATGTTAATGTCTATGAAGATTTACTCATTATGTAGGTTACTTTTTGTTCTATCTGCTTTGATAACCTGATTCTACTGTTATATTGATCTTGTGACAGTTAAGATAATTTTCATCAGTTGATGGTATTGACCTCAATCGAGGTATATGTTTATTACATGTATTCAGCTCTATCATCCATTCTCTACAGCTACAAGTCTGAATTTTATCATCAACACACAACATTTATTTATTAAGTCTTTTTTTTGAACAAACTAAAAGGTGTTTACATGTAGGATGCAGAAAATTGTTAATTTCAAGATTGATCTGCTATTGAAAAATTATTTATGGCGTCAATTATCAACCAAATTACATGATTTACACCTCTATTGAAATCACTTTTATACATAGCTTTTATTACTGTACTAAGTACATATCAGTTCAAACCATAAATATAAATAGAGAAATATGATCCTGATTTTTCATATAATATCAAAATATGTAGGTATTAATGAAGCACTTCAGAAGCCAACATAATAGCCAAGTTACAATGTATACAGCAGTGAAGCACCAATTATAGTAATTAATGTTTTTACTTTTCTGCATCTTTCACAAAGCTTCAAAAGCAAATGCACATTTTACCGAGTAAAATGATTAAAACAGCACCAACAAGTCTAGATCAGTGTCCTTAATTATCTTTTACTGTTCAACTTTTTATCAAATAATTAATATCAATTAAATCAGTGTTGATATTTGATAATTAAGTATTTTCGAATAACATACAAAAATATGTGATATTTCTTCTCAATCACTGATATTTTTGAAGATGGTGAAATTAATAACCAACTAATGACTGTTACTTGTATCATAAAGTGAAATATTCCTTATTTTCTATCTTCTTATATTATGAAACAGTAATGTCAATTATCTTTATACATCTGGAGGGTCTTGTGTGAATTTTGGCAACTATTTAATAGACATTTATATAAATATAAAAGTTCTTCAAAAAATTATCATACAGATTCAGCTTTAGATGCGACATCAGGTAAATGTTTTTGCCCTTTTGTCATTTCATAAGGAAAAAATCAGCACAATATGCATCATTGGCCCCCAGAAAATTTTAAATGGTGAAAAATTGAGGAATTTCATTTAAAAAAAATTAAATGATACTTCCACTAAAAATGTTACAAATTAAGTTCTGTATGTACCCATATCATTGTAAGGATGTATGTTACCTTAAAGAAATATAAATCTCCTTTCTGGAAGAGTTCCATAAAAATATCTGTATATCTAATGGGATCAATAATTTGCATGATGTTTTAAAATTGATGATACATTTGAAAATGAATAAAGAGTTCAAGCATTTGTAACACTAAAACGATCCTGGTCTATCACAGGATAATACTGGAAACTTATTAACTTATTCGAAAAACTCTTAACAAAAAAAAAAAATGTGTGGAAGGTAGCATTGGTGATTTCACTAAATGATACAAGTTTATGAACTGATAGAAATTCTACATACTAGAGACTGACTCAACCATGAAAAAGAGACAAACACATTAATGTTGGCGTCAAAAAGTAAGAGTTTTGGGGAAAAATAAACAGTTGATAACAATTCTAGTTACAGAATAACAATCCTAATAAACCTGACAAACTTAAACAGCAGACATAACAAGTCCAACCCATTTCTGTGTCACCAGAAATGCCACCACACAGAACACCTCATTACCAACAATTTCTTAAATTGATTCCCAGCAAAATACATCTTAAATAAAAATCTCATGATATTTGTTGCAGTCATTAAAGCCACTTTGATGAAATGGTGCTGTGTCATGCACATAAACCATTATCATTCAGCTTCTAAACACATATACACTACTACACTTCATGTAGTATAACTTCAATATCACACATACACTAGCAGTCTTTACCATGCATATCTACTATACTAGACAATCTATTACACACGTTTACTGCTACACACACCATGTCTCACGTTCCTACATTTACACACGAGTAGTAAGCCCCCCTTCTTCCCCAAACTAATATCACACATGCTATACAAGCGTTGTTTCTAGTCCATCCCATTCATCATCCGTGTCGGTGTCTGACAGATTTTCATCTTGTTCATTCTCACTGAGTGTATCTGCGAGTCCTTCACTACTCCCGGCAGGAGAGCCCGTGTCGCTACCTGTGCTTTTTTGACTGCTTTTATGACTATGTAAATGAGCGGCACGACTGTTAATGGGGGGGTCTTTTAATGTCAGTTCAGACAATGAACGAGTCTGGCCCATATTGGAAGATGGTAAAGCATGCGAACTGTCCTTTAGCGATGTGGAAATACTTTCAAACGTAGGTGAGCGTGTGTGGCCAGGGCCGGCGCTGGACGTAACATGAGATGGGACTGTCAGGCTGCTACTCAGACTGCTTCCGTTCCTTGGAAATTCTGGGTCAGGAGTTTTGAAATGTAACTTTGCCTTTAGGAAGAAACAAACAATTGATGTAATATTATAACAAACAAGAACTCCACAGGAGTGGATGTGTGCCTGTTCAGCGCTTTTCGTAATATACTCAATTTCCCAGTTGTTTTAATATTTGCACTTTTCGAGGTAGAGAAAACCATTCATTCAACACTCCCACTGAAACTTCTATTTGCCAACATATATCAAACCTGACCCGTTGTGATACTACCATTTTAACAATATGTGAAGTGCACTATTCGCTCAGAATACAAAAAAAAATGCATCACCTGTTATAGAGCATTTGGATGTGAGATATTAACAAAACTACAGTAAATTATGTTTATGATGAATCCTTGGGATCCTACAAAGCAAGTTCACTATAGGCATAATTCCTTTAAACAAAATGTCACCAGGAAACAATTGTTTGCTGAGAGAAACAAATATGGCTTTGTTTTAAGCAAGAATTGGCAACAAGCATGTTTGTAGTGTGTTCTACCGTAAAAATAATCTAGTAATCAAAATATAGCTGTTTGAATCTGATGACAATCTTTTTCATCAGGCCACCATTTTTCATTTTTTCCACAAGGAATCAAAATCAGAGTCTCCCATTTACTAGTCCGACTGTCAACCAAATAAGCTAACAAGAATTCACCCTAGCCGTGAATGGCAGGAAGAGGTAAAGCAAACTCCTGGATCTGCCTCTGTCTTTTATTACACTGTTCTTTTAAAGTTGTGCTGTCATCAATTGCATATCAATCTTTTTATCTCAATATGTGTTTAAAATTTTAACAAACTATCACAATCTTAAAAAAAATCTTGATATAATGATTTCATAATGTGCATAGCATAAAATATCATTTTATACTTGGTAAATAAATAGATTTCTACATAAAAAGAAATGGGTTATGTCTTTGAATATCCTATGCTTATAACTGAAAAATTACATGTTTTAATACTCTTTGGTCTCCTGGTTGAGTGGAATCAACTCTACCTACCTGAAAGTTTGGACTGAATAATTTATGTGATTTGTCTTTGTTGGCTTTGTCCAAATCCTCCTTAAGAAGGGTCATGTATAGAAACCTCGAGTTGTCATATTGAGCCATCTCCCCTGCACAATAACTTGTGGTGCCATTAGCCTGAGGCTTGTCGGAATATGATCCATCCACGTTTACAAAGAAAGTGTTGAACCAGAACTGGAACATCTTTTCCTGTGTAAATAAAACAGTTATAGATAAACAGAAATATATATATTCAGTCTGCCTGAAGAAGCCCTAGAAGGCAGAAAGGCCTAGCGCTAGATCTATCATATTTATATATAAATAAGGACTTAAATTATCTACCATGAAAATTGAATTATTCTTTTTTAACTACCATATATAAACTACAAATAATTTCTAAAATGACATTTTTTGACAAGGTAAATATTCAAGATCACACTGACAATAACATTTTTAGTCCTTTCAGATTCATCTCAATGGCTCTACTGAAGAAATTGCTTCCCCTTTCCTGAAAACATAACCATCACGATCTACATTTTGACAAACAACCCAAACCTCAAATGGAGCTATGTAATCACAAGGTGGCATCTGTAATGTGTCACCCTAACCTTACCCCTTCGTATGTTTTTTTTTGACAAGTCTATCGACAATATGAAAAGGTTACTGCTATCCACTACACCAAACATTTCACATGTATTTACCTTTCCCTTCATGCGGGGTTTGTTGTAGAATACCACTTTGATGTCTCCACACAGAGGTACAGATGTCTCGACTCCCATGAAAACCTTTTCCTGACCTTTTTTCAGGTCCTCATACACCTTTGAGGAGTAAACTTTCACTTTAAGCTGGTAAACCTCGAACATCGGGCCTGTAAATAACAGTTATTCATTATCATAAACTACAAAACAGGACAAAGATGATGAATTTAGTACTAATATTGTAATTAACCCAGAGGAGCACCTAGTTGGTTACTTAATATTTCAAACTGTAATTAACCCAGAGGAGCACCTAGTTGGTTACTTAATATTTTAAACTGTAATTAACCCAGAGGAGCATCTAGTTAAATACTCAATATTTTAAACTGTTATTAACCCAGAGGAGCACCTAGTTAGTTACTTGATATTTTAAACTGTTATTAACCCAGAGGAGCACCTAGTTGGTTATTTAATATTTTAAACTGTAATTAACCCAGAGGAGCACCTAGTTGGTTACTCAATATTTCAAACTGCAATTAACCCAGAGGAGCACCTAGTTAGTTACTCAATATTTTAAACTGTAATTAACCCAGAAGAGCACCTAGTTAGTTACTCAATATTTTAAACTGTAACTAGAACACTGACAGGTCAGTAAGGGCCCCATCTTGTGGCAATATATCCCCCATAATCATCAAGAAGCAACCTGCCCATATAGCTGAGCTTGACGTTGGACATTTGGACTTCAAAAAGAATCGCAAGGAAGCAAAATATACATTTTACATGTACTATGACGTGAGTCTTGTTTCCTTCCACCTCCATATTTGCTTGGCTAACAGAAATGTAAATACCGGTGCAATACTCATTTGCTAGCTTTGATTTGTTTTATTTCACCTTATATACCTCCTCCATCAAGAGCCAGGGTCAAAGTCAGAAATCCACTTTGTCTTTGACCTTTGGACCCAAATGACCTTGACCATTAACCCAGTGACCCTGAACTTTGGTCAGTTGACTTATTCTTTAATTCCGACCAACTTTGCTTCTTGATATCATAACAAAATGTTCATCAGTGAAAAATACAAAACTTAACCTTGACCCTTTGGACCCCATACCTGNTAATATTTTAAACTGTGATTAACCAAGAGGAGCACCTAGTTAGTTACTCAATAGTTTAAACTGTAATTAACCCAGAGGAGCACTTAGTTAGTTACTTAATATTTTAAACTGTAATTAACCAAGAGGAGCACCTAGTTAGTTACTCAATATTTTAAACTGTAATTAACCCAGAGGAGCACCTAGTTAGTTACTCAATATTTTAAACTGTAATTAACCCAGAGGAGCACCTAGTTAGTTACTCAATATTTTAAACTGTAATTAACCCAGAGGAGCACCTAGTTAGTTACTCAATATTTTAAACTGTAATTAACCCAGAGGAGCACCTAGTTAGTTACTAAATATTTTGAACTGTAATTAACCCAGAGGAGCATCTAATTGGTTACTCAATTCTTTACTTACTGTGATGAGTATCCAGTTAGTCACTGAATATTTTGAATTGTAGTCAACATAACCCTAAGGAGCATCCCAGAGGAACACCAAGTTATTTTGATTTTAGTCAACTCATAACGTATACAATATATATTTTCTAATTTACTTGTCTCTATATTTTCACATCTAAATATACATTTAAGGATCCCCGACCCAGCCAGAGCAAAACACTAAAGAATTCCACTGTTGTTTTTCAGTGTTAGAGTCACCTGCCCCTGATTACCATTTCGACAATGTTGTTACCTCCCTTGAATGGATTTCGTTTGAATAACGTTTTGACTACAGAGTTGTGTCCCTTGCGTTGAAAATCTCCAATCGCGAGAGTGTGGGCAAAAAATGCTGTCGTAACGATGTAAACAACGTCGTGGCAGTGATGGCCGACATGCAAGCCCGACGTATAATCAGCCGTTTTAAATGTAAACTAAACGCATTAATTGACAATAATAACAACAACGATGTCCAATATCAACTGCTAGACCATGACTTTGCGACAAAACAAAGTGACACTCATTCACACATTGAAGAGACACTGACTACTGAAGCAACCTACTAAGCTTACTGACAATTTTACTGATGAGCCGACACCCACGTCTGATGAGGATCCCTCCAGTACTAGTGATCACAAATACGCCAATAACTTTTTAACCTGGTCGCAGGGTAGACGAGTGGTTGAACTTGTGATGTTATCTGAATACCTGGACCAGAAAGGTTGTAAGGAATGCGGTACTAGGCTACGGTTGTGCAATACCCAATAGGAAAGACATTTTGGCCTGGGAAGTATTTTATACATCACAATAGTCAGGATTATATTCTATATTTGTTAAACCACAATAAATGTTGTTATCTGTTTATTATTGCTATAAAGTGTGATATTTTTTATATCAAAATATGGTATGTTGTTATCTATACATAATGTGAAAGTTTATTATTGTTTTGTTCCAAATGTAAAAGTTCATTATTGTTGTATATAGTGTGATTTTTTATATCATAACATAGTATGTTATTTGTACATTATGTAGAAATTTATTATTGTTGTGTAAAGTATGTGAAACTTTGTTATTGTTGTTCATTGTGACATTTTTGCTATGACACAGTAAAGTACATTGTTTGTTATAATGTTATTCATACACAATGTGCAATTTTGTTTTATATTGGTTATTACATTTGAAGTAATTTTATTGGTTGGTAATGCCTTCTGTATTATTTTCGTACAGAAAAATTGCTATATTGTATGTTGTAAATTGTATATTATTGGTACAAATGTAAGAGTTGTCTTTCTTTTCTTTAGTTTTTTTTTTGCATCTTTATAATTTTTTGTATAATTTATAAGTAAGACCGCAAGACGTTAATTTTTGTCACCTATATTTTCTTTTCGTTGTCCTTAACGTGTTGCATTGGCACTCAGAATTTTACTGATTCATGTAACGGGCAGTTTTGTTTGTTTTAGTATTATTGTTAGAAAATTACTTAGTTTTTTTGTGTTTTGTTCATCAATATCGACATTGTTAATATTTTTTATGTGTTATATTTCTAATAAACCATTGTTGCATCAAAGTTAATGTATTTTGTTTCTTTTTGTTTCATTCAAAAAAAATATCGAAATTTTATAATATCCCCAAAAATCTGAAGAAACTACCACAAGGTATGGGTCATTTTTCAGAAATGATTTGGTTATGCAATAGCGATGCCGTAGAAAGAAAAAAAACAATGCCTCATTACATTTTTAGGCGGAGGGAAGGGGATCCTTAAAAAAAAGTAAGATTAGTCAGACTTTGGAAGTTGATATCAGTAAAACTGAAGGTGGAAGCATTTGATTTTGTGTGAACATAAAAGGCTTCAATACATACTCTAAAGTGAGTTGATAGGATTATAATTACACAGACTTAATTTTACTCAGATTTAATTAACACAATATTAGCTTAAATTTCCAAAGCCCAAACATTTAAACTTTTAGAGTGAAGCAAGTTATTTTTGAAATGTAACCAAAAGTATTTCATTTTGTTTATTGCGACAATATTTCTTTGTTTTTAATTAGGTATGTTTTTAATTGCTGAAAAACAGAATTTTGTAATAGCATTTGTATTTTTGTACAGAATTTCACCTGAAACAGTTAGATCTGTTTTTTTGAACATTTAACATTTATTACTATTATGTTACGTTCAGTCTATCAAAAACTTACTGCAAGTGCCTCCATTGTACATGGGAATTTTTATGAATTCAATGCCTGTCAGCAACAGGGTAACTGGTTTGTATTGTAGACGGCGTTCAATGAGATATCCGTAGTACCATACAAAACGGCGCTGACTAGGAATGGTCACACCCTGCAAAACATTGAAAAAGGTCAACTGGGTTAGTTATGCACATGGTAATGATATGGAATAAATACAGCTTTACAAATAGTTCATGAGCAGATCACAATCCAAGGCGAGTTAACGTCAGTCATTGACCTCAATATTATGCATGGGCGATACGCTACAAAAACTCTGATTCTTTTGATTTACAAGAGGAACTTATGAATACTGTTCCATTATATTGTTGATGGTAATTTTCTACATGGATGCAAAAATGTTTTATTTTGCTACTCTGATTTTTCTGCATGGATACATAATATGCATGTCCCTGCAGTAAATTATTTTTCTGTAGTAGTCTGGACAAGATTTTAATGGTCCTACATTTAAAATAGGGGTGCCAAAATATGCCTGGAGTGTTACCTCATATATTGCAATACAAAGGGAATGTATAGATATAAATTGTCAGAGGAACAATATAAGTTATTCTGAAAATTGTACCTAATTTCATACAAAACTGTTGTCAAAATGCTGACAAAATTAAGTATATATCATAAGAACCAAACAGGTAAGATTTCCATCAAACCAATAATTTATTGTAGAATGCCAACGGATTCCCATTACTATCAATACCCTGTTAGACTGCAGTGATTTTCAAAGTTGAAAGAAGTAATACTTAAGATGCATAAAAACAAGATTTTGAAAAATAGTTATGTACAGCAATAGTTCACTATTGCTTTTCAATGCAATACAGTATTCCTGCCCATTGCAATACATTTTTCCACATACTGTGACAGCTTTAATAATTGATGTAGGTAGGTACCGAGGTATACAAAGGGCAATAACTCCGGAAATAATTATCAGATTAGTGTCCGATACACATGCAAAACTAAGTGGGAACAGTGCACATGGTTAACTCTACCTAGTTTCAAGGAAATTAGATGGAATTGAGAAAGCAGTTGTCAGGGCAACAAGGTGACAGACAGAAAACACTTAACCATAATACATTGGTCACGCAAAATCATATATATTGTCCCAAGTCATATCCAGCCAAGAACCTACAACTAACAAAAGATATTTTTTTGATTTTTTCACACATTTACTTACCCTGATCAGTGTCATGTGGTTTTTCCTGACCTTCAATAACCACAATTGAGTTAAGTGAACAGAGTCGGTACAGAAGACAGTTATGATAAAGGATGTTCTGGGCCAATGTGGCACTCACCTTATGGTCCCTGGTCCTTGTCTGGCCGTAATGGAGCAAGGCCTTTTGGTAATCTGAAAACAGATTTCTGTGCAGGAGGTAGGCACAGATCATAACACCTGTCCGTCCCTGTAACAAAAGTTTACCCAAAAACAATCTTTGTATTTATTTAATAACAGTGATATATTCTCTACCTTTTCAAAGAGACTAAGGTTTGTACCCTTAATTTAAATATTTTCTTAGAACACATAAATAATAGGTAACAGCAACATATTGTTTTTCGAGACATAAATCAACCCATGTGAACAAGATGGAAATGTAAGCATTTGCTTTAAAATTGTAGTAAACTGATAAACAATCAAATTGGAAAATGCAGCTAAAATGGTTTGAAAAGGCCTTTAACCCTTTCACCACTGTAGACTATAATGGACTCAACCAGATCAATGCATGGAAGAGTTTACTGAAGTTACATAGGGGTGAAAGGGTTAACACAAACTAAGGAAAACACTACAATGGACCATATGCACAAAATTTTACAGTACCAGGAAATGAAACTCATCCCTAAACCACTTGATTGTAGAAGTTATTGTAGCACCTACATTTTTGTCCTCGTACTTGGGCGAGAGATAACATTGAGGTGTCACTTACCTTGCCAGCTTTGCAGTGTATGGCGGCGATGTTCTCTTTGTCTTTTCTAAGCCAGTCGTCCAGATCCTCACAAAATGGTTTGATCAGCTCTAGGGGTGGTGGATTGTGATCTTCAAATGGGTAACACACCACACGCTTGTGGAACTTTACTGGGTCATATGATCTTTCTGTACATCTGGATTGGAAAATAAAGTACACATGTGACAGTAACTGTCTGAGAAAAAATGTGCTTATATACTTTTTTCATAACCTGGTTAGCAGATTTCTATATAAATTTCTTGCACCTCGGACAGGGATATGCCATGTTATATTATACCCCATGCAAGATTTTTCTTTCAAGTCTGATCTATCTGGCACCTTTCTGCGCCATTTCGCAGAATTTTCACACTGTAATTTATATTTCCAAGCTTCTTCTAACGCAAGTGATACACACATACATTATAAATATTCAGTTTCTATATATACATTATATGTATTGTTTTTATGCCCTTGACTAAGATATTCTGATTACGCTCAGTTACAGGTAACAGATTTTATCAATTTGCAAGTTCATGTAGCAGGATTCTATGTTATGATTACTGTCCAACCTTTACTTATGCTTCTTAGAGTTGGATAACTGGACATGTGTTCAGGCTTCAGTGTTGACCTCTGTGACAACATTACATGATGATAATAACAGGTCACACTATAAGATGAAATCATACTCTTTAGGATAAAAAAAATCTTCTAAATATTTTAGAAATTAGTGTACCAATATGCTTAACCTTTGAAAAATTGACAAGCATATCTAAGCATCTGAATCCATCTTCTCCTTTCTTTACTTTAAGATTCTATGACGTCATTCATGTTATAAAGCATTAATAAGGATCAAGATATTTGTTTTGCTTGAAGCAGAATTTTCAGAGTTTCAATCAAAATGTACCCAAAAAATGTGTACATCCTAATTGGCTAAAATTCAGTCACATTAGCCCTTTCACCCCTATGTAACTTTATTTAATTCTTCCATGCATTGATCTGGATGAGTCCATTTTGGTATACAGTGGTAAAATGGTTAGGCAGGAAAACCCTGCTACTGCAACAGCATATCACAATCACAAGTGTTTTACAAATAGCAATTACAGTATCATGATGGTTGAAACTAGCAGTAATTCAGTAAGCTACAATACACCAGACATTGATTCTTAATAATATAAAATTTGTAATTTTCATCTTAATGTCTGCTACTGTATATATGCTGCTGTCACACGAGTGTTAACATTTATCAAATAGATCTCTAGATGTCTGTTGTGAGAACCGGACTTCATTAAATACTCCTAATAGCGAGCACTACCCAATTCACTATGTAGTGTCAGGGATTGGGTTGGGGGACGTCATTGAACTTTTACAATAGGACATGCAGATGATGTCCAGGAAAGAGTATGACATCAGGGAAAAAGAAACTGTATTGAAACATGTACATGGTATATCATACAAGTATATTCCGCATGGATATGTCATTGTTAAGTGGCCTTTTCCCGACAACTGGCTAATTCTATTAACAGTGAATTAGTCATGTGATCAAGTATGTTTTAGTTATTATGCAGTATTGAAATTTTCAGTTCAATTTGGTCATTCTGCTTCCTCATTTCAATCCTCAAAACATTACATGACAAATACATGACAGGATATATATATTTCCTTACTCAGTAGTTGCGTAGTTTACTAACAAATGTGAAAATGGCAAAGCCAAGCCAATCGTAACCAATTATAATGTATTTTAAGAGTATGTTTGTCTCTTTATGCCTAGCAGTCAGTGTTAATAGGGTGGGGATTTCAACCAATTCCATGTTATGACACAGGAACTAATATAATCTCTATATGAACAAGCAAGGCTGGATCCAGAGGTCAATCTTAGTACTAGTAAGTAGCATAGATATATTTATCCCTTCATTCAAAGGTACTGCATGGCCAAAGGAACTATGTCCCTGGTAGGAAGGGGCAAGGAATGGCCCCTGGACAGTTCTGGTAGCATGATTGTATCTGTCGACTTGTGACCTATATGCTGTTGTATAGTGGGGATTTTAATCATCAGCTCTACACTCAAAATTCCTGCATTATGGCCCTATAATTGCTCCCCTGGAGGACTGGGTCAAATCCATTCTCAATACAAAATTGAGTTCCATTGGCCCAACAATGTTCCAGGCTAAACTGAGTTTAAAAGTACAGTAGCTCAGCTGTTCTAGACTAAAAGCGTCTTCAAGGAAAGATTGACAACAAATGATTCACCATACAGCATAAGGTCAGTTGCCCTTCTAGTAGGTGAATGAAAAATAAACAGATCCAGGTTGGTGTGTGTATATATAAGACTGACGAGGTCTCTATTTTGAAGTGCTTTTCCATTTAATATCAAACAGCCAGTAAATGTACATTTACATGTACTTTAAAACTACATAAAGATCTTCAACACAACCAGGAAGACAATAGAGTTCATAACCCTTAGTCTTAAGTTTATTCAAACACGAACACACAGCTAGCTAGAACTTTGGATGAACTGTGATTAAATATTTGGGTCTAGTTATTCCTGTTCATGTAAAACTATAATTTGTGTGTTTACAAAAATATTGAAATTCATAATGAAAATTATATGTAGAAGAGACCTACCATACAACTTGAAAGTTTCTTAAATACTCTGTAAGGTTTTAACCATTGATGTACATTCTTTTAATTTAGTTTGGTACAGGATCAAATGTTCTATTAAGCACAATCGTGATACTGATAAACTTTATACTATACAAGTTTTGTGGGTTTGCACTTAACATGAACCTTCCAGTCACCTAGACAATATATAAGAAAGGAGGTGACAGTCATGGAATACATACACTGAATATGTGGAGGTCATAAGATACAAGGCATAGAGGTCATGTTATGGATACTGCCGAAGACAACCACGAAGACACCCCACCCGGTCACGTTATACTGACAACCAGCGAACCAGTCGTCCCACTCCTAAATTGCTGAGCGTTAAGCAGGAGTAGAAACTACCATTTTTACAGACTCTGGTATGCCTTGGCCAGGGGACAGACCTCAAAGCCTTCCTCACAGGGGCGAACGCTCAACTAACGGCCAAAAGTTAGGCATTGTCAAGGGGGACATTAGGAAGAAGGAAATTGTTTAGAAAGAAGAGAAAAGATAAGATTCCAAATTTATTCACCTCTTACGATAATGCAACGGGGGCAGCAGGTACAATTCTTACGCCCTTCATGCAGGGACCACTTGCAAGGGTACAGAGAAGGGTAGATAGTTGAGGTATGTGATATGTACAAGGGTAGAGAGTTGAGGTATGTGATACTTAAAAGGGTAGAGAGTTAAGGTATGTGATATGTACAAGGGTAGAGAGTTGAGGTATGTGATATGTACAAGGGTAGATAGTTGAGGTATGTGATATGTACAAGGGTAGATAGTTGAGGTATGTGATATGTACAAGGGTAGATAGTTGAGGTATGTGATATGTACAAGGGTAGAGAGTTAAGGTATGTGATACGTACAAGGGTAGATAGTTGAGGTATGTGATACGTACAAGGGTAGAGAGTTAAGGTATGTGATATGTACAAGGGTAGAGAGTTGAGGTATGTGATATGTACAAGGGTAGAGAGTTGAGGTATGTGATATGTACAAGGGTAGAGAGTTGAGGTATGTGATATGTACAAGGGTAGAGAGTTGAGGTATGTGATATGTACAAGGGTAGAGAGTTGAGGTATGTAATACGTACAAGGGTAGAGAGTTAAGGTATGTGATATGTACAAGGGTAGAGAGTTGAGGTATGTAATATGTACAAGGGTAGAGAGTTGAGGTATGTGATATGTTCAAGGGTAGATAGTTGAGGTATGTAATATGTACAAGGGTAGAGAGTTAAGGTATGTGATATGTACAAGGGTAGAGAGTTGAGGTATGTGATATGTCCAAGGGTAGATAGTTGAGGTATGTGATATGTACAAGGGTAGATAGTTGAGGTATGTGATATGTACAAGGGTAGAAGGTTGAGGTATGTAATATGTACAAGGGTAGAGAGTTAAGGTATGTGATACGTACAAGGGTAGAGAGTTGAGGTATGTGATATGTTCAAGGGTAGATAGTTGAGGTATGTAATATGTACAAGGGTAGAGAGTTGAGGTATGTGATACGTGCAAGGGTAGAGAAATGAGGTATGTGATATGTTAAAGGGTAGAGAGTTGAGGTATGTGAAAGTACAAGGGTAGAGAGTTGAGGTATGTGATACGTACAAGGGTAGAGAGTTAAGGTATGTGATACGTACAAGGGGAGAGAGTTGAGGGATGTGATATGTACAAGGGGAGAGAGTTGAGGTATGTGATACTTAAAAGGGTAGAGAGTTGAGGGATGTGATATGTACAAGGGGAGAGAGTTGAGGGATGTGATATGAACAAGGGTAGATAGATGAGGTATGTGATATGTACAATGGTTGAGGGTTGAGGTATGGGATATGTACAAGGGAAGAGAGTTGAGGTATGTGATATGTACAAGGGTAGAGAGTTGAGGTATGGGATATGTACAAGGGTAGTGAGTTGAGGTATGTGATTTGTACAAGGGTAGAGAGTTGAGGTATGTGATATGTACAAGGGTAGAGAGTTGAGGTATGTGATATGTACAAGGGTAGAGAGTTGAGGTATGTGATATGTACAAGGGTAGAGAGTTGAGGTATGTGATACTTAAAAAGGGTACAGAGTTGAGGTAAGTGATACTTACAAGGGTAGAGAGTTAAGGTATGGGATATGTACAAGGGTAGAGAGTTGAGGTATGTGATACTTAAAAGGGTAGAGAGTTGAGGTATGCGATACGTACAAGGGTAGAGAGTTGAGGTATGGGATATGTACAAGGGTAGAGAGTTGAGGTATGGGATATGTACAATGTACAAGGGTAGAGAGTTGAGGTAACTTATATATACAAGGGTAGAGACAGAAGTGTAATATTTACAAATAGAGTGTAGAGGTGAAGGGATACTTAAAAGGTATATATAAAGGTCATGGTATACTTCAGGTACAGACATTGGTTATGGGATTCTACCAATGGAAGATGTAATGCAATAGTTACAAAGGAACAGAGGATATGGAATACTTACAAATTATACACCCTGTAGTGGTCTTTATGTCGTTGGTCCAAAAACCTGAAGAAAACAAACCAAGCTTAAGACCAGCTACACGTAGCCTCATCACACATAACCTGCCGTTGAGGAAAATAATCATATTCACATATGATATTAAACTGTGTGATGTAACCTAGTTATTCTCTTGAATAATTGACAATGTGGCAATCATGTACATATTACTATCAAATACTCACAAGTCATTCAAACCATTTGATCTGTACAACTGCATGGATATCTTTAAAGAAGTGTTGCATCGAAATTTACTTTATTTTTAGCTACACAAAAATTGCAAACATGACATATACCTTAGTCAACATGGAATTCAGCAAATAGGAATGAAAATCTTATTGGCAATTAAGCTATACTTAGAAATCACATTTGAAAAAGACATTTCATTTATAAAAAAGAATCATTATTTGATAAATAGAATTGATGCATTGTTTGATAAATAGGAAACTAAAACAGAAAAAGGAAATAAAAATTGGTTGAGAAATTTATAATAACCATTGTACCTCCATTACAAACAACTCTTTTCTATTCTATATTTCCATGACATTTGACCTAACAAGCATTTGATTTGAATAATAAAGCTGGAAAATCTGTAATGACCTTCAATAACAAAATTTGTAGTACTTCACATGACAATACATGTAAATATGCACAGTGAATATAGCAAGATCGATGATATTAGGCCAAAAGTTATATTATCACTTTTAACATAGATTGTACTTTGTAGATAATTTTATGACATTGAATAATAGTTGACTCACTATCAGTACATTATATACCTACTCTATCAGTATCTAGCCAGACACAGCAAACAAGTACAAAACCTTCACCTTACTTTGACCCCTAAAACTAACCACCAATGCAGCATCTGTTTTACAGTGTAAACAATCTACAAAACCTTTACCTCACCTATTATATTTCACTCATTAACTATATACAACAATGCAAGGACAACCACTAAAACAGCCTTTGTTTTACAATGTAAACACAAAAGTATAAAACCTCCACTTTCTGTACAATGTATACTTTGACTATAGACTATATTTTGTCAACCACTGATACAACCTGTTTTATAATGTAAAAAGGATAACATCGGCATGTCATGCCAGCTTATTGTGATATCATGTTGTCATTTGATAGCAGCTGTCCTTATACAGTTTGTAATACCATGTATTCATTACTTTACCTATGAATCTTTAAACGGACACCTAATCATCCTTAAATTACCTAAACTGTTAATGGGACGTTAAGAAATATATGAGCCTTTTAAAATCAAACCAAACCTATCAGTGCAAAATGTAAATGATTACAGTGAACAGTTCAAATTACACGTATGCAACAATAAGTACGACAGTAAACTTCCTGTTACTGGGGTAATTTAAATCCATTGACCTACATATAAAAAAAAATGTATTGGGGTACTTAAATAGTGCTGGCCTACTGAGCTAAACACGGTATATAGCTATAGGTGTACTATAGATGACCTACATCTACCAGTACATGCATGTTGCATCAGTTAGAAATGATAATGCACAAAGATAAATATATTAATTACATACTTATTTTAAAATCTATATAATAAAACGTACAGAAAAATCAGCATAATGTTATAAGTCTGTTAATGTGGATGTGAGACCCAACTCTCCTGAAATAATGAGTAGTCAAGACCATATTGATTTAGTATAGATCAGCATCACGTGTTCCTTATCAATTCAGACAGTGAGATCACTTAACGTTTTCTGTGAAATAGATCTGTGGTAACAAAATAGATAATTATCACTAAAACGGAATATGATCACTTCCTTATGACACACATTTCAGTGAAACAACACACCCTGTCACAATACAATTTACACAAGTATCACAATACTTAAGCTCATGATTTGATATATACGTTGAATTGTGATACATTTTCCTTGTGTCACTATAAACTTAAGAAAATAAATGATGCAAAAGCTATGTTAAAATGCATAATTTTGAACTAAATGATAAATTCATTTTAATACTTTAGCTTTGGAGCGGTATTTTAAGAAAACTATATAACATGGTATTTTACTAGGGCTGAAACGATATATTGTGTGACAATATATCGCGATATTTTGAATACTGTATGCATATGATACACAATATTTTTTTGGTGGTCACGATACACCAACAATATTTTCTGGATTTTGTCGTTTCTGAATTTAGTCAACTCATATCTGTTCCACAAGGCGAGTGATAGCTTCAGCTCAGCATGCACGTCGAAAGATGTGAATTGTGTGAAACTTTAAAGTCATGCCCTTTTTAGAACAAGTCTATTTCCAATTGTAATATTGCAATTAAAAATTTACAGCATATCTTTTCACTTTGCTTCTACTGTTCCTATATGTATTGTGATACGTATCATATCGTGATGTGTATCGTATCGTGACCACAGTATCGTGATGTGTATCGTATCGAGACCACAGTATCGTGATGTGTATCGTATCGTGACCACAGTATCGTGATGTGTATCGTATCTTGACCACGGTATTGTAATGGATATCGTATCGTGATCACGGTATTGTGATGTGTATCATATCGTGACCACGGTATTGTAATGGATATCGTATCGTGATCACGGTATTGTGATGTGTATCATATCGTGACCACGGTATTGTAATGTGTATCATATCGTGACCACAGTTTTGTGATGTGTATTGTATCTTGACCACGGCATTGTAATGGATATCGTATCTTGACCACACTATGTGATGCGTATCATATCGTGACCACGGTATTGTGATGTATTTCACTCTGATGGTATACGTACCTGTCACAGGAAACAGGGGAAGCTTGGAAGTCAAACATTTTTTGAGCACATTATAGCACTGATAAAACTTAACTAATCAAAACAATCAGCCTCAATTACAAAGGAAGATTAGTCCCCTTGATCATGGATGTCATCCTCTGAAGCATATATACCGTAATTATATTCACTATACAGAGAATATACCTACCGTGCTACTTGGTTGATGTTATTCCTGTAAACGCCTTCAATGGATTCGGCAGGGAAGCCCATGGCAATGATATTTGGATAAATATCTAAGAAATTGTTAAGGAACATGATGATGACCACATTACATAATTATTAACAAATCAAAAATTAACAAACTATTGGGTCGATTAATTGTTTATATACATATACAAATCTCTTACACATGCTTAATTAGTGCAATATACCATAATGTTTTACCAGTTACAAGAGCACGACTTTCTGTTAACTAATGTTTTTGTTTGGAGTATGTCTCTTCCCAACACTTTCACATGCAATTCATGTGGAATGTTTGACCTATATATATTCAAGAAGATACGATTTCACTACTTGAATGAAGGAGAGGCTACCCATCAAAAACAGTTTTGCCAAGCACTTATATATGATATAACATTATAAAACAAGATTCAGTTACAGAAGTATTTGTCATATTCAACCACTGTAGTCACAGATGATGCACAACAGTAAACAAACGTTTTAAAGATGGTCTATATCTCTTCAAATATTTCAAGATCCGAATAAATATGCCCTTTCATCACCTTGCAATGGCTATTATAAGACAGAATATACATCCCATCTAATTTGAATGTAGTTTATATACAACTACAGGCCATAGTGAAACTGGTGAGATATCAAGTGGTAGAGGACAAAGGAACAGAGGCAAAATGTTTTTTATCTATAACACACCTATATACCAGGTTGAAGTAGTGTGTAGAGTGATCAGGTTAATGGCCGATATCAGTAGGGGGTCAGGTATACATATAGAACTAGCTGTCAGACACATGTCTGGCTCCTCAGCATATACAATGTATGGATAAGCCCACAATAATTGGTAGATTCAGGATTTTCAGAAGGATATATAGGACTCAACCCATCAAAAGAGAGATAGAGATAAATTATTTATAAACATTCAAAAAAAGCATACAAGTTATATTATTTTATGTGAAACTGTAAATAATATTTGTACTGAAAAATGGGACCAGACCTAACAACCTAAATTCGCAAATACAATCCAACAACAGCCAAAATTCAATATACTTCATTGCTGTTCAACTATTAAAATGCATTGTTCTATCAGAGAAGTCAATTTTAAGCCACTGTATTATTATTATACATAGATCCTATTTGACCTATATATGGGCGCCAACACCGACATAAAGAACAAAACAGAGAACATGGTAATTAAAGATTGTGTGGATTGTAAGATAGAGTGTGATTAGCATGTAGCTACTAGCTACAGTACCGGAATATGTTGCATTCATGATAAAAATAAATTGCATTTTTTTTAATGTTTATATACCACTATGAAAATAGTTAAAATTGAAATAATGTATTATTTTATCACAGTCATCCTAAAATATGCATATACATCTGTATAATTAATCCCTAAATCATTAGGTGTTATAGTATTATGTTTAATTTGGTGCTCAAAGTTAAAATACAGAATTATTCAGTATGCTCTGAACAAAAGTTTTCAATAATGAGTTCCCAGGTTGAAATATAGGTCATTTTATAATCTCCTACAATGACGTGACACTAAACTATCCTAAGTTGTACTCATTGAGATGTATAATTTAGAAATCCGTTGTTTTTGTTGGTGAGAATAGAACATGTACTCCAGACAAATGGTGATGATCAAGCCTTTTACTAGGATTGAGATTATATGTCAAAATATGGTACAGTACCACCAATTCATATAACCTACAACAGTACTGCTTTTATAGTATGCGACCCTCTCCCACACTAACATCAGTCCGGATCTGGCCGATCCCTGTACCACGTTCCAGATTTTTGTTCAAGGATACAAGTCAAAAGTTATAATCAGTGATGTCCTAATTTCAGTATATAAAGAAACACTGTCATCCGACATACAGTGAACATTTTATAATCCTTAGTGAAATATGGATTGACTGGCTTATATATATATATATACATGTAACTTAAAAGTTTTTGTAACTCTAACAAATATGCAATATTGGGATTAAAATCAACAAATTGGCCATTTCTAATCTAAATGTAAAGTTTAAAACCACACAAGATGAAGGCCATTTTAACTCATTCACCCCTGAAGCCACATTTGAACTCTTCCAATTCAATGGTTGGAATGGTTCATTATAAAATTTCAGGAGTGAATGAGTTGAAGCTATGATTACATCTGACACAGCATTACCCATCCATCTTGTACCACAAGATATAGGGATCCATCTGTTCTCATTTTTACACACTGATAGCGTTAGACATCTTGTGAGTTACAGGAGACAGATCAGCTTCCACGTATCACACATAGCATCAGGAAACAAATCCAGAACTAATTCATTTCTACCAAATACACTTCCACTTTTCTCCTAAACTCTTATCAAAGTTGTTTTAGGCCACACCAAGCTCATTTCTTGTTTTCAATCTCAATAACAATTCATACAGAGAGAAAAAAAAAGATTTTAAAAATAAAGATTTAAAAAAAAATAACCTAGAGATAAGAGATTATAAAATAACACTCTTTAATATGTCCTCTGTTTGAAAACCACTTGCTATGGCAAATGATGGGTTGTTTGCCCAAGGGAAATGTTCTCATCATATAGCAGTGAAACCTGACCAATATATCTATACTCACACTTGCTGACATCACCTTTGAAACAAACACTCTATTCACCATTTCAAATTTTGGTTTATGATCTTAGATTTAATTTTAATTTGGTACTTTCACTTTAAAAATCAAGTTTTGACATGGTGCATGTTCTACATATATTTATTACATTTTTGCCATTGAAAACTGATATCTTTCACACTGTGACAAAAATTTAGTGTGAAAATATCACTTTTTGGTATTGACCAATCATAACGCTTTAACGGTATCTTTTATTCGCTGCATCGCTGCATTCAAAGGCAACATTTTTTTTTCAGATTCAAATGAAGCGACGGTAGAATACATGTAAGTGGTTGTTATGGTAAATGTTCGGTGCACACAGTATTTACATAAATATTCAATTAATAACATTTTTATAAGCAATCATACCAGAAAATAGCAGAAAACTTAGGAATTGCGTTGAGTATCCCATTCAAAATGGCGCACAGCCTTGTTGTACAGTGTGACGTCATTAGAATATGGCACTTATTATACCGCTTCTGATTCCCGCACTTTTTTAATGCATTACATTTTTCATGTTTTATGGTTTAAAAATGTAATAAATAGAAAATTTAATGGTGTCTTCAGTAATAACAAATATATTTCACTCGTGTGGCTAATATTTTGATATTTTTACACGAGTGCACAACTCCATTTGTCTAGAAAGACAAGTCTACGTGGACCTTGTATATTATATCATATTAAAACAAACTGCAATTAACCTGTATACAGGTATTCAGAAGTTTTGAACAGCCCTACAAATCAGTGCAAGTCTAAGATACAAGAATTGAGTGATGCATATACTAATGATGCATGATGATCTTGCATTTGGCTGGGATACAAATCTGTCAATTGCAAGGAAACTGTAACATCCTGTTCACTGCAGTGTCTATCCTGAGTTTAAGTTCCGGGTTGCAAGAACATTTGTGTATAATATTCATGTATATTTTATGTCATTAATGACCAAGCAAATCTATCATAAAAATATTTGTACTGTATATGACAAATTAAGCTTGAACAATACATCAGAATGGGAACATTTTTATTAAGGTGAAGCAAACCACTGCATCAGTCATAACTGCAAAGAAAATTTTCATTTCTGAACTGGTTTATTTTACTTGGATAACCAATATTCTAGATAAAGCAACCATAAATGACCGTAGTTGACTGTAGTGGACCGTCGGTGACCTTAGTTAACCGTATTAAATGTAGAAAGACGTAGTTCAACGTAGACATCAATGTAGTTTGAACTTCAAGAAACCCATGATTTGACCATGGTGAGTTTGGATGCCAAGATCCTAATGTAGGGCTGTAACGATACACCTATGCCACGATACGATACGTATCACGATATCTACCCACGATACGATACATTTTGATACGATACAGGTTGACGAAATGTTATGCTTCCTCTTCAAATGCGTCGCCATGTTTGATGTGTTCCCCGACTTGTAACTTAAAGCTACGATATGTATGCGGCAAGTGGAGAGTGCTGCTACATTGATTGTACATTATGTAAAGGGACACCACTGCTGAATTGATTATCGAAATATAAATTAATTTACTTGATTTTTCAAATGTGCATAACTTGAAAAATATAAATGTTATATGTGAATGAAAGTTATATGAAAATTGTTCGTAATTGTCTCTAGTTTACATTAACGTTTTCAATTCTAAAGTTGCTTCAGTGGTGAAACTTTTAATTAATCAGATTTAAAAACCAGAAAGGTGATTTTAAAATTATTTTTGTAAGCAAATGCAATTGGCAAATGATAACAGAGATTCTAAATTTCATTTATGACATAAGACGCTGTACATTTACACGGAGATTCTCATGTAAAAAGGTCAGGTATTTCATCAAGAATTGCATGTGACGTAATTCAATATATTTACTGTCACAGTCGGCATATAGATATATATTAGCTACGGTCTAGTTAATGATTAAATCATCGATATATAGTTTGAAGAAATCAATCGCCTCAAAACGTATTAATGTCAATGTTCAAATCAGCCTCACCTGCAGACGACATGTGCGCCTCGATCCGCCGATATTTTCCTGTTTGCGTGGGGCACAAAATTAAAGCCGTTCATTGGAAAGTTATATATTATGTTACACCGAAGTATTTCCACATCAACCGTGTCAAACCCTTCAAAACCTTTATTATCATCGCAGGTGACGCTGGAGAATAAATGTTTACGTTACAAATGTGTGGTTAAATTCCGGAAGTCAGGTAATACTAAAAACCGAACCGAACCGAAACACGGAAAAATATACCGTAAACCGAACAGAAGCAATTTAGCGCGGTTTTCGGTGCACCGCGGTGTATCGTTACAGCCCTATCCTAATGTGATCATAGTTTGAACGTAGTTGACCATAGTGTTTACCTTAGATGACGCGTAGTAACATGGCACTACGGTTAACACTACGGTCAAGTAGGGTCAAATAGGGACAAATACTAGGGTTGGACTACGTTTGAAGTACGTTCACAGTACTGTTATGGTTAAGTACGGTTAACTAGGATCAATGATTTAGGAGTTATGGTAAGGGAACTACGTCTAACTAGGTTCAATATGTTTAACTAAGCTCACCTACGGTCTACTACAGTCATCCCACACTACGGTCAACTACGCAAGTGACCGCGGCTTAAATGTCCAATGATCATACACGCTAGCTGCAGACCAATAATGTTGCACACCTAAATTGAATTTAAGAACAGTCTTTTCACTCATTCATCCCTGAAAGCACATTTGAACTCTTCAAATTCAAAAGTTGGAATGGTCCATTACATAATTTCAGGGTTGAATGATCATGAGTTAATCGCATGATTGTTTTTACAACATTTCTCAGAGCAATATTTTAATATCTAATGATTCTAATATTAAAATAAAGGTTTTATTAACCACAAAGGAATGTATCTATCACTATAATATATTTCCTTTAACTTAACAATTTGTATGATTAGATCTGAAAAATCAGGAGCTTATTTCAAAATTCCTACAACTTTTAAATTATCTTGCATTTGAGTTTGGTCTCTGAAAAGACTTGCACCCTCCTTTCAAAAAAAAAAGAAAAAGAACAGGACTAGAGCCAGACTACTGCCTGAAAATATGTTATGGACAAGGTTACTATACAAACAAGTAGATGACCGGAATTGGCTGTATCTATGCAACAGTGTTCTCCCCAAGCTGATTTAGTGTAACGGTACCGTTAAGCATGCATTTTACCGTTACTCATTAAGGGGTATATGTATATATACAACTGGAACATCAAGTTCTCACAATGAGTCATACTTGACCTTTGCATAAAGTTTGACCAAAATCCATGAAAGAATGAAGTTGCTAAGTGTTTAAATTGAAACAGTTGATGGTTTTCTAAATATAGCAAGTGACCTTGGCCTTGACCTTGGATCCCTGAAACACAACAATGTCCAAAGTATATATATACTCATACTTGATCTTCGTATAAAGTTTGACCAAAATCTGTCAAAGAATGAAGTTGCCAAGTGTTTACATTGAATCGGGACGCGACGGGACGGGTGTTTACATTGAATCGGGACGGGATGCGACGGACATGGGCAACACTATATGCCCCCCCCCCCCCCCATTTTATGGCGGGGGCATCAAAAACAGTATTGTACAATTTTTTGCCATCAAAAAGTAATCCACTTGTCGAACATATCAAGTAATCCATTGTTGTATTACCTGGGTAATAACATGATATTTTCACTTTTCTGTTTGGACACGACTGCTTCACTGCAAACGATGAAAACTCATTACAGTAAAACCCTGTTGTAATGCCACCCGTTAAACCGCTTAACCCCATACCGCCATTAATTTACTCAGAACAGATTTCCCCAACATTAATGCACTCGTTGTAACGCCAAACCTGCATACCGCCATCATATTTCCAAAACAAATAGCTAAAATCACACTATTTTGACCTTGTTAAATACCACCAATTCGAGTAGAGTACAGGTTTATCCCGATGACATGAATGTAACGTTCGTGTGTATTGTTACACGTGATACCAGAGAACCAGGATGAGCTCAACCTCGATCCCGATTTGATATGGAAACAACTCGCACCCTGGGAAGTTGTCGGGGACGATGACATTATCAACTCTGTCATCACGCACACATACTCGGACAATAATGACGGCGATACCATTTCAAATTTTGTGCAGTCAATCGGCCAAAACACGGCAACGACCATCAGTGATTTTTTCAGCATAAGATCTACTGTTTAACGTTGACAGGTTTTGTAAGTTCTGCATTAAAATTGTTGGGATATCACGACATTGATTCAACATTTTTGTTTCTATACAATTTGATACATTAAATTAGTTTTGAAAAAAAAAAATCTGAAGTTTATTATTATTCTTTTTAAGCATAAGTTCAGTTGGTGTGTGAACACTTGGGTTCAAAACGGTAAACCTGATATACCGCTAAACTTGTTATACCGCTAAAATCATTGAGGACAGAAGGTGGTGGTTTGACAAGGTTTTACTGTATTTATGTCTTTGACACAGAATTCTTCTGATTTCATAATGGAATTGTGGAAAGGAAGACTAATGGAATATGTTGAACCACGGAATTAGATTAGATTTTGTTATCTAAGTCCGTGGTTGAACATAGAAATACAAGTAAAGACATTGTTTTTTGTCAAAATCTGGCAAAATTTGATTGCCGGTAATGGAAAAATCGTCCATGGGAAGTCAAAAGTCACTTAATGGTTGCGCTTGTCAAAAGTATCGTGTGTGTTAATCCTGTAACATTATTGGAGTATGACTGGCGATAGTTTGTGTTGCACCAGTAGCATAGGCCTGTTCAATCAATCTACTGAAGATTATATACATATACAGTATAGTAACATTTAAAGGTCATAATTTTTTTCAATGCCTCCAGTCCAACCCGGGCCTCAGGTTCACTAGTCTTGCGCTCTACCAACTAGCTAAAAATAAATTCTCCCATGCTAAGTCAGTACACGGAAGCAGTGTGTATTATACCTTTGTAATATATATCTTAAAATTTTGGGAAATGTTTGGGAATTATCTTCCGGTTATAAACAAAGCCGTGTCTTATATCAAACTTAAGGCCTTGTTACTAGCGACATGCTTACCTAAGTGATATATAAAGGGCAAATGAAACTCTGCAAAAAAGGGACTGATGTTAATGGCTTTGGTCAATGACATATCAATAAGAGACATTTCTATTTAAATCCAACGTAAACCTCACAAATCGTCCTGATTTATATCTGTCATGATCATCAGATGTTGATCACGCGAATCATTTCCTCAAAAAGGATACAGGTCAAATCCAAGTCAAAGCCATCTTCCTGGTACCGACGTTTATTCTTACTCACAATTGACCGAATCCTATTCGCCATCTCGGTTTCTTGGTCATTTAATAAACTGTCACACCATATTCGACAAGTGATATCAATGTAAAGTCATACAGTCGTACACATTCGGCCGAAAAGCAACAGTTGAAATAACTTCACGTCAACCACGAGTTTGGACGTAGTTAAGGGCTCTGACGGATGAATTGATAAATCAAGAAACCAATGCTTACGATTTCACGATTTAGATACCGTGGTTGGCAGTATTATCCGTAGTCGAATAAGCTTTTGAGATGAAACTGCCATGTTGTTCTCTATGTATGTGTGTGCGGTTTATCGTTTCATTATGGCGGCTTCCTGGTGCAATGATATTAATCCGCTGAAAAAGTTAGTTCATTTTATCGACATCTATTTTACTTTTACCGTACTCTTTAGAGCCAAATTATATAGTTGAAATGTTTAATAGTATTAATATATGTGAAATAAAATCAATGTATACAACAAATAGAGACAAATTTTTATTTCAGCGGAGGAGTAAGACCGAAGCACCTGAATAACCTGTCCCAAAGGTCAAAGGTAATATTGCATGAAGATCTTGTGACCCACTGACCTAGTCAAGCAATGATATTGAACCACACACCACACCAGTGACCGAGTTATTAAGAACTGCAATTACGTCATTACCGTTGTAACGAGAAATAGATACTAAACTGTATACAATATATATAAGTGTTTGATAGATACATTTACAAATAAATACACATACTTTACCGGAACACTTGAAAATAATCCTAATAATTACAGAACGTATACATGTATACCTAATTTATTTTTATTACATCACGTTACTATTTAAGTCCGTGATAAGACTTTCTTAAAATTATTGAAGAAACTCTTAGGAAATTCAATTTGAATGTAGGTAAGCTGAATTCAATGTAAGCTAGATATATTTGATTGATGCGATTGAAAATATAAAAGAGTGTATAAATATGAAACTCTTGTCATTTTTTTAAATATTTAACCATCACAAGGACTTTGAATGAATTTCTAATTATATATATATATAAAAATGTAAATATATATTAGCAAATTTTGGTTTGGTCCTATATAACACATACATAGACAAGGTGGGAAAGTGTTTTATGGACTTATATATTGATAAGTGTGATGGCTAGTATGTGAACTGCAACGTTATACTAATTTTGTTAATAGTTGATTTAGTGGTGATTTATTCTATGTAACTTGTATATACATTTTAACCTTAATCGAGTGTCCATTTACAGCATTGCTGAAATTTTCATCTACTATTGTATAGTTATATTTTACAGAATCGTGTTCCACATACTCGTTGCAATAAAGCAATATATGATATTACCATCTGATGATCATATGTAATGTATATTGAAATGTTATTCATTCCTGGTTTCAACTGCATATCCAATCCTCTACCCCCTCCCATATTCCCGTAATTATTATATTGTACATATTACTTCATTCTTGTATCTTGTAGCTAGTGTTGAAAAGTTGATTATTAAGCAGGTAACACATTTACATTTACGACACTTGTTTTTGTTTCTTCGTGTACTTCGATGTATTGACAAACAAAATTTAAATAAAACAAAGTTTAAACCAACACATACATATATCGTATATAAAACAAATTAAAAATTCATCAAATAACTGAAGCTGGACAACTCTATAAGTACATATCTTCAAGTGATTCATCTATTGATTCAAGACCTTTTCCAAAACGCCATTATCGTATATTTACATTTGCTCTACATCCTTGCATTAGAATGCATTGAGAAGGCAAACTATAACAACATTTTCTATCGTAATGTCATCAATCTCTTTTGTGACGTCATCAATTTCACTGTTGTTAACACTTAATTTGCCGTTCAAAGAACTGTTTGAAATAACTAAATAAAGCATACGTACTATATCAAAATGTAAATATAAATAATGAATATTTAATATCAACGGCAATGCGTGTTATATAGGACCATAACAACATTTGCTAAAACATTAATTGCTTTAAACAATCCACGTATCTTACTTGGTGTTGCCGTTGTTGCAGAAATTAAAGTTCAATACCGCAAAATAGATACTTATATTTAAACTATATATATTTCTATATAAGTATAAATTTCAATTTAACATGCATCCAAGAGTGAACGCAAATTGCTTACGTCCATGTAGGTGTTACCGATTTGCGTTCATATTGAATTGGTATGAATGTAAAACCTCCCCGTTAAATGACGTCATTATTATAACAAAATGACATCACAATAACCAAGATGGTGGAATTTAAGATTTGAGGAATGTCCCGGAAACGCGATTTTCTTAAATATTCTTTAAAAAATCTCCAACTGAATATGGATATTGTTTTCTGTCTTACTCAAAGCGGGGAATGACTATTTTTTCTCTCTCTTCAAATACGAGAGTGGTTGAATGAAACGTTAACACAAGCGTGTTTGCATGGTTATCCAGAAAACCAAATGATTTATTTTCCGTGATTTGCTGTTGTTGGCGTGATGTCAATGCATTGTTGACATGACATATTCCAATTTTTATAACAGGGGATTCCCCTCGTCTTTATCTTAGGATAAGACTTATATAGACTCTGTATAGGTAGGTAAGTGCGAAAGTGCGATATAAATATGCTACTCGAGGTCGTAGAATTAGAAACAGATTCGAGACTTTGCGAGGCTACATAGTTATTGAATATATTTATCCAAACTCTTGACCCCCCAAGGCTTTGCGACGTCATCTTTCATTTTGACGTCCTAGACTAGTACACCTCTTGTCCTTTTACAATTCGTAAGTTAACAAACTCGAGTTAGACAAACATGATGATAACCACCTCTTGTTGGTGAGCCTCTTATATCTTTACCTGACCGGAAGTGTTACCATTTCTGTTTGATTGGAAGAGGGGGAGAGGCGTTTTTTGCATCCATTACTATTTCATAGCGATGAAGATTTGTGAACTCGTCACGTCCACCAGAAACCCTTCACTCCAGCACCTGGTTCACCAAAAACACTTCATTCCAGCACATCGTTCACCATATACCCTTCACTCTAGCACCTTGTTCACCAGATACCCTTCACTCCAGCACCTGTTTCACCAGAAACACTTCACTCCAGCACATCGTTCACCAGAAACCCTTCACTCTAGCACCTTGTTCAGCAGAAATCCTTCACTCCAACACCTAGTTCACCAGAAACCATTCACCCCAGCACCTAGTTCACCAGAAACCATTCACTCCAGCACCTAGTTCACCAGAAACCATTCATTCCAGCACCTAGCTCACCGGAAACCCTTCACTTCAGCACCTAGTTCACCAGAAACTCTTCATTCTAGCACCTGGTCCATTATATATCTTTCGTGACGAATATCTGCACAATGAGATTGTTGAGGTTGTCTTCCCTATTTTATGTGCAGATGACTTTAATTAAACCGACTGTGACGTCTGTATTGCAGATAAATTAGACATTGAAGACTTCATCAACACAGCGACGTATATACTGTATGTCTCTGATCAACATATCATTGGAAGGAAATAATTGAATATTACAAAAATGATAATAAAAGAAAGGCTATCTATGCGTGTTCTACACGAAAAGTTTAAAAATCAGCAAAATATTTTGTTTGACTTAAAAAAGGGGTTCATTGTAATCATGTCTCCCTGACGAAAATCACTAAGACATTAACACTTCAATTTACTTCTTTCCCACAAGTAGTCAACGACTGATTTTGCAATTAATTCCCGTGCTCTTTGATGTTTAATACCAAATTTGGTTGGAAGTCAAATAGATTAATTTGGTTAGTATCTACAATGAGTTGAGAACTTTGCCACACTACTATATACTGTAAACGTTAAAATAATTTATCTTGGAGTAATATGAACCCCATGCAGAATGATTTGAGTTTAGGGAATCGCATTGTTTGAAGTTGCCTATATTGCTAAAGGTATTCTACTAAGAGAAACTGGACTTCTTTGGACAATGGCGCCCTTCGCTAAATATTACATTGGGTTGAACCAATTGAATTAGATAACGGAGTTCAGATTTGTGTCGTTATGCCAACTTATTTTAAAGTTGGCTATTCAGTCTTGAAAGTTCATGTGATGTGGTTGATTTAAGCAAATCCTCTGTTTGGTCAATAGTAATATCACCGAATTCTGTCATTCATTGTTCTTAAGAAACTATAAACTTATCTGAATAAAATCTTGTTTTAAAGGAGAAAAGGCACTTGTCTATGGTAAGAATGACAAAAAACCGCAACCTATTGTAGTTTTTCTTCGTGATATCAAACTCGCGTTGCATTTTATGCGTTCATATTTTGGAATTGCTTCGTTGATTTTTTCAGGAAATACACATAACATCTTTCGGACATCAACAAATTCAAATCTCAACGGAATAAAGTCAATAACATGAAAAAATATGCCGTAAATTATTTCATGAAAATGTTCATAGTATAATAATAATAATAATTCGAGGTTCTTATATACCGCTTGATCACAACCTATATTTATAGTTCGCAGGTCGTCTCAAAGTGGTTCACAAATTATTATCCGTGGTTATAGGGCCTTTGCGTCAAGTCAATATCTTTCTCAACTCCCTGCATGGGGAGCATACAGCCGGTGCTGCCATTTCGGCGCTCACAGCTAGTATTCTACAATTCTAGCACTGCCACACCACGTACCCATTTGCAGCTGAGTAGACTGGAATAAACGCAGTAAAGTATATTTCTCAAAGATACAACACAGTGCCGTGCCGTGACTCGAACCCGCAACCCTTCGGTCACGAGCCCGGCGTCCTACCACTGGACTACCGTACCTCCAAAAGCTTATTGGAGACTCATCAAAAGGTTAATACAATCGTCTGGTACTACACAATCTATACATACTCTTTTAGATCCTGTTTCTGACAAAGTGGTTACTAGTGACTTATACAAAGCTAATATATGAAATGACTATTTTTGCAATATAACTCGCGTAGATGACAGAAATACTACGGTTCCTCTCATCGAGCCAAAAACTGACAAAAATCTTAGGTACATTAGAGTCAATAATAATGAAATACGAGATATTTTGCAGATATTGAAGCTTGGTAAGGCCTTGGGTGAGGATGGAATCAGTCACCATTTGTTAAGAAACACATCAGAAACAGTTTGTGTTCCCCTGGAAATCGTTTTTAATATGTCTTTATCGTCTGGTGTTTATCCAAACTCTTGGAAAATAGCCAAAGTTGTGCCACTGTTTAAAAAGGTGACAGGCATTCTCCCTCTAACTACAGGCCAATTTTTTTATTATCTACAGTTGGTAAAGTGTTTGAGAAGGTATTTTCAAATA